CTAAACAATTGGACATAACCTTACACATTAAGACAAATATTAAGACTAGCATTACAGTTGACCCTAAAAGCTCTTTTCCTGTAACCTTGGCGTGCCTGCAGTCTTCACTGCAGGCTGAATAGTTACAGCCTAAGCTAGTCAACCTGTCTGGACTAACATACTAGACAACAAATCTCTGAATATCTATCTAACTAAGAAATAACCTAACAAGGGCATGATGGGAAATGCCCGACTCTTTCCTGATCAGAGAGCTGATTAGTTGAGGTGAATCAACAACATAACGTTCTATAGAGACGTATCATTTCTTGTATAATTCATTCAGTCATAAAATTTATTGCCAAGTATGTTAAAATACAGGGAATTTGACTCAAGCTAATTGAAACAATTGTTTTTTTTTTTGTTGGTATTTGCACGGTAAAGGTTTTTTGTGTTAAAAGGATAAATGTGTCGATGCTGATGGTTATCAGTCAGGGAAGCTGAATATAGTGAGAGAACAGTACATTTTTGGTCTTTTTAGCTAATGACACCCCTTTCCATTAAAGCTGTCATCATGTTGTTGAATGGTGGGTAAATGCGCCGTTTTGGAAGGACTATACTCATTACCCATCATAGACATATACACATACGCTACATACATCTATGAGTTAATTAAAAGAAATAAATACCATCCCATACAGCTATGTACAGTAGTGGATGCCTCCACTATGTCCATACACAGCAGGGTGGAGCTCTAAATGCAGCCACAGCCACCTGCTGTGACCACTGAGTGAACGGGCGTGCCCGTAGCTGCCTCTGTGGGTTGGGCGCTAAAACGCCAGATGTTGGTCAGGTTACATATACAGCTGAGAAAGTATAAGTAGCAGGAAAAGATGCAGATTTATGGGAAATGATATTCTCTGCCCTAGAGATGGCATCTCCAGTGGTTATCATTTACTAATGACTGCTGAACAGCTGGATCACTGGAACATTTTCTGCATCACTAAGGAAAAAAGTTACTTTGAATTTGTTTTGCATTTTTAACCAAGTCTTTTAAAGAGACACAGAACTGCTACCATGACTGAAGACCGTCAGTCAGTCAGTGTTAAACCTGGAACACCTTGAAGTTACACAGATCCAGTAAGCTGACATGGTTATTGGCTGAGGTGTTTTGGTAACACATCTGTCAATGAAGGTACCTGGTTCAATTCCTGGCTAGCGTGCACGGCCTTGTCACTCTTTCTTGATCAATATTGTAGTTTACTGTTGCTGCTTGCAAAAATAAGCTAGACAATAGTTTTACATTAACACAAAGTTGAATTTATTCACACTTGCATAATGTAATAAAGACTATCAGTGCTGGAGCTTTTGGTCTAAGAGACCTAAGTCTAATGTACTGTTCATTTCTGGAGGCTGTTTGTAGTGCTGCTGTATTATATTACATGATGTTAATAATTCTTTAAAATATCTTCCGAAGTTACAGTTGATTTATAAAGTATTTGCCAATGAGCAATCATTTTGTGTATGTTTTCCAGGTGACAATGGACCCTTTTCACAGTGACGTCAGCTGATACAGCATCCCGGGGTTTGGGTGTATCACTGTTTCCGGTTCAGCGCTGCACTGGCGTAAATGAATTAAAGGGCGAAGCTGCAGTCCAACATTTCCCTGGCACTGTAAAAAAAAGACAACATCAGCAATAATATTTACGATGTTGTAAATCACATTCATCCACAATAGTATTAGTTTGTTTCTTGCTGCTGCCACAGATCAGTGGTGGATGGAGCTCCCCAATAGCTAGCAAGTGACATTAGCAGGAGTCACAGAGAAGGAATGTCTATTCAAAATATCAGCAGTTATGTTAAAAATCCAAGCAACCCTTGTAAATATATACACTATAGCTTGGTGAAGGGACAGGGCACCGTATTATGTAGGTGACCTCGCTGGGACCAGTGTTATAGTTTTACAGATCTTGTGTGTTACAGTCTTGTGTTGGGCTGTGCACATCAAACTGTAGGACAAAATCTATGACATCCTTTCAGTGTGACATGCTAGACAACCCACTGACCTTCTATGCTTTTATTTTGAAATGAGTTTCCTGTCATCTGTGCAGAATCAGGGCAGAACGAGTCTGCATCCATCTGCGACAGGACATCCTGAAACAAGAGCCGAGCTGGAGTCAGGCTGGAGTCTGGGATAAAGTCCAGAAGAGGAATTAGGGGCATTTTAAGGTGTAGTCTGGTCCAGCATGGTTCTGAATGACTGGAGTTCACCTGGACCTTTGATCCTGGTGCCCACCTGTAACCAAGAGCTGTGGGACAATCGAGCAGCATGAACTCAGTGAGACTCCAGAAAAACAAAGTGAAAAGCCTCTGCACACTTCAAACATACACAGGTATATTATTATTATTATATTCATGACAAACACTTAACAAACAAAAATGTTCAACACTCTTCAGATCACATCCAACTGTCATACTGTGTTTATAAAGAACATCAGCTAAGTTGTGTAAATGTATATTATGAACAATTTTATGGTATTTTAAATACTAAGTAAATGAGGTTTGAAGTTATGATGTACATGTAATCAGATATAGACATGGTTAAAATCTTATTAACGTATTTAAGTGTTTGCTGTAACTTCTCCTATGAAGCATTTTAAGTTATTTAAATTATGTTTTGTCATTCATTATCTGTTTATACGGCAGCTTCCATTTCTGAGCATGCACAGGAAGAGCTATAATTGATTCTAACTACAATATTAATCATTAAAAACACACAGATCTGTCCACAGCTACATTATGGTTTGTTAGAAGCCAGTCACTGCACATTTATATTCTAAACCAACATGTTAAAGTTGAACCACTAGAGGAAAAAGTGCAATAGGACCAACAAAAGTTTAAAGAAATCAATAGACTTAAATAATCCAGCATCTGTGAGAATTAAGCCAGTAAATGATCTGAATACTTTTCCCATTTCTCCTCAGGTGTATGTCTCAGGTGAAGGTAAATCTCTTCTCACAGATATCCACCTATCAGCTGCTTTCATGTGAAACTCACCTGAACAAAGTTTTATTTTACATCTCACACACACACTGACACACACACACACACACAGTTTCTGTGTGTGTCAGGCTCAAGCGATTCACCCCCTGCTACTGGCCCCCATTAGCCAATCAGGAGCCTGTTTGAAACAAGAGCCCTTTATCCGGCAGGAACTACCCCCCCCCCCCTTTGTTTGTGTGTGTGTGAGTCAGTTAACCTCTGAGGACCTGCAGGTCAGTTTTCATTCATCAGCTCAGATTAACTGCATTAGTTCCATCTCTCCAATCAGTCTTCCACACCAGAAACCTATGGCCCCAAGTAACCTGACTCCTCCCCCTTCAACAAACCTGCAATCAGCTTCAGGTTTTCTGCCCTGTCAAAATAAAAGGTCAATGTCCACAAGCCTCGCAGTCCTTTACTGTCAGTAACTGCATTACCAAAAGGTGAAATGCAAGTGTTAAAATGTAGTTTAGCATAAGGCAGGTGAAGAAAAGAAAGTATCAGGCAAAACCTGTGAAACATGTAAACCAAAAGGTGTCAAAAAGTAGCCTACCTGAGGTGTTGTGAATGTGCTAGTGTATGAACAGTGCTGTGAGACTCGCTGTGAGGTGTGAACACATTGGCAGATGGTCAGGACATGTAGGAATATGTGATGACTTCTGAGAATATGACGGGGTTGTTGTACAGGAATGAACATGGAAGAGAGCAGGCGGCTGCAGAGTGGGGCCAGAAAGCTGCTGGACAGTATCCTTCAGTCTGTACAGGAGGTCACAGAACCACTCATGGCCCATTAGATCTGATCCTGATTTAGTAAAATGTCACCGAAACCAAATGTTTCATCTTGTTCTCAGGGTGCAGTGGTTGTTGTTTAATGGTCTTCTTCTATATGGCAGGGAGAGTGATGAAATGCTGATCTGTGTTAATGATTTAATCTCCATATAACTATTTCACATGAGCATGGATGGGCCACAGGTCTTGTATAAAGCAATACTAATCATAATCAACTTTATTTGGCCAAGTATTTTACACACAAAGAATTTGTTTACAGTACAGAACCGAGGCAACCATCTGCGGCGCCAACTCAAATGATGGATCTAATCATCAGGGACAATTCGGGGGTTCAGTGTCTTGCCCAAGGACACTTTGACATGTGGACTGCAGGCACTGTGAATCGAACCACCGACCCTCCCATTGGGAGATGTCCGCTCTGAACCACAGTCACCCCCACAACAATGTCAGGTCAGTTTACTGCTGTGTATCAGCTGACCAGGCTTTATTTGATATTCATTCATTTTCTACCGCTTAGTCCCTGAACGGGGTCACGGGTGGGGCCGGAGCCAATCCCGGCCGGCAATCGGGCGAAGGCGGGGTACACCCCGGACAGGTCGCCAATCCATTGCAGGGCTAACACATAGACGAACAACCACATATACACGCACGCACTCCTATGGGCAATTTAGAGACACCAATCAACCTAAGCTGCATGTCTTTGGTCAGTGGGAGGAAGCCGGAGCACCCGGAGAGAACCCACACAAGCACAGGGAGAACATGCAAACTCCACACAGAAAGGTCCCAGGTGGGGCCCGAACCCGGAACCTTCTCGCTGTGAGGCAACGGCGCTAACCACTGTGCCACCGTGCAATATTTGATATGAAAGTACATAAATAAATTATACATGGAGGAGAAACAAGTTTTCATTGATCATCTGTCGAATATTTAGACTGCCAGGACTGGAGCAACTGTACAGATCTTATTTTAAAAATGCTCATGTTTACCAACAGTTTTTTTCGTCACCTAATATTTGAAAACTTAAAGTGCTAATGTTCATATTGTAGAGTAGAACTATCCCAGACTGTCTGCAGTTTACGATAACTACTGTTTTCATAATGTAATCTGGCTGTAATCTGTAATCCAACATCTCAACCAATCAGCTCTCAGAACCAGGCATTTCCCATCATGCCTGGTGCTCCTTCAGTCCGTGGAGAACAACTGCCCATGATCCTGTCAAAATATCATTGCCTATGTAACCGATGGGTTGGCCATGCCCATATCGCCAGGTGAGCAATTTGTCATGTTAATCATGGACATGACCCATCCGATGAGCGGTTATCGCGTCGGTCGCTGCACTGAACTTTCCAAAGTGAAGTTTGATTTCCATCTGTTCTTTGTTGACCTGTGTCCTACTTTCCTGAGCCAGTAGTTCTCAAACATTTTTTGTCATTCCCCACTTAAGAGGGTGGGCGAATTTTCAAGCCCCACTTGTCAAAAAATTATAACGAAATTGGCCAATTTTAAAATTTCAAATTGATTGAAATATCAAATAACACCAAGTTGAAAACGGATAAAATATAAGTGCAACTGTATCGTTTGACAAGGGGATAGTTTTCACTTTTGCAGCACTTGTTTCATCCAGCATAATCGACACCATGTCTACAGTTAAAGGGAGAATGAGCTGCTCAGCAATTGACTGGGGTGTGTTGTCTCTAAATGTCTTCTTAATTTGTTGGGTTTCATGCTGTCTGCTGCCAGTGGTTTAAGACACAAGACACACGTGGGTCCCTCCTCTGTTGATTGCATATTAGATTTGTGGCAGTGCAGTGTTTATTCATTTAATACTTTTATGTTTTGTTCAGGGGGTGACAACTGATTCCAGCGCGATCCTGCAGGAGTTGGCGTCCATCGCACATGTCGTGCCAAGAGGCCACAGTGCGTGACGCAACCCAAGGTAATGTTCAGCAGCTTTGGTCTTAATTGTTCTGAATCTTTTTGTTTTTACTGAATGTGGTTTTACTCTTGTAGGTGCAGTAGCCACTGTTACTTTGCCTAGTGTATCTTTATGTCAAGAAGCCTGTTTATGTTTATCTCGTGTTACTGGTGTAGCTGACGTTAGGCCCGTTTTATGGTGTATGAGTATGTGGGGTCGCTGTGGCTGGGGCAGTCGTCTCCTGTTGTCGTTTCCAAGTTGGTGGTTCGTCTCCCCGCATGCCTAAGTGTCCTTGAGCAAGACACTGAACCCCAAATTGCTCCCGGTGGCTTGACTAGCACCGTTGCGTGGCAGCCTGTCTTCATCGGTGTGTGAATGGGTGAATGGTGTATGATCTCCTATAAAGCGCTTTGGCCAGTGCAACACACTGTGAGAAAAGCGCTATATAAATACAGTTCATTTTCCATTTATGTGAATAGTTTGGTGCACAGGGAGGGAAGGTCCTCTAAGTTTGGTTATGGTATTGTGGGTTTTTTGTATTTTGGCTGTGATTGATTGTTGTGGTGTTTGTTTAATGGGTTTGTCCCAATCTGTTGACCATTTTATTGCTGTTTTGTACTGTATTTACTAGGAGAGCGGGTTACTAGGTTCTCTTGAAGGGTAGTATTTTAGCTTTTGATTTCGAGCCATTTTTAAAACATTGATTCACTGTCACTAAATTATACATCGGCTCAACTCCTAATTCTTGTGGATAAAACCAGCGGTGGACGGTAAAGTAAGAATTTCATCTCATTTTATCTCATTTTCTATACCACTTTGTCCCACACAGGGTTGCGGGGGGACTGGAGCCAATCCCAGCCGGCATCGGGCAAAATGCGGGGTACACCCTGGACAGGTTTCTGGTCCATCACAGGGCCTAAGAATTTCTTTGTACAGGGAAACACATTTCCTAACTGTGCATATGACAAATAAACACTGTACCTTGACCTTGACGTATGTCAAGGACAAAGTGTTTGTCATATGCACAGTGAAGAAACGCATTTCCCTGTACAATGAAATTCCTACTTTGCCATCCACATGAATGCCACACAATACAAGTGAAATATAGTAGATAAGCAGGTAACACAAATCTGAGGCACTTTAAAGCAGCAAATGAAAGAAGCATAACAGAAATACAAGAAGACTACAATATAATGATTAGAGAATGTATGCTACATGTGAGCTGTGTGTGCACATATGCATGTGCAAACTTGAGTATGTAAACAATATGGGTGGAATTACATGAGGTAGTTCCTGAGTCAGCTGTCTAGAAGTCTGATGGCAGTTGAAAAGAGAGTTTTTCAGTCTAGAAGCCCTGCATTTCACACTTCTGAGCCTCTGACCGGAAGGTAGGGGTGTGAACAGTCTGTGTTGGGGGTGGGTGGGGTCCTTGAGGTATGTAACAGTGAACATGGCATAATAGTGATAGGAACATTAGTACTGCATTGGTGCTACTGGAAAAAACATTCCTCTGTATAATTTACTTGTCTTACTGCAGACGCAGCTGCTGCAAACAGCCTTAGACATACGTATGCATGTTGCTAACATGTAAACTGCTTTATTTGACACTGTGTTTCTGCAGTGCCACTGAAAACCACAGGCTCTGTGGGCTCTATGTTCCCTATATGTTAGCTCTGGAGCCGTTTATTACTGCTGCTTCCTGACTACCGGCTGTCATGACCACATATGATGAAGTTTCAGAGGCAGGACAGGAGGGAGAAGAGGAGCAGAGAAAGAAGAGTAGGGGACACTGCTGGAGTTTGTTTTGATGCTCACTTCATCTTTAATAGTTGAAAATTAGAGGTTGAAGTTAGTTAATGCAGCTTTAAGACTACAGATTAATTTCTGCTCATACATCACTGTCTGGTTTGGCTCAGCAACCAAACAGGACAGGAACAGACTCCAGTGGACAGTCAGGACTGCAGGGAGAACCATCGGTGCCAGCCTGTCCTCCATGGAGGACCTGTACACCTCACGGGTCAGAAGGAGGGCGCAGAAGATCTCTGCAGACCCCTCACACCCTGGACATAATCTGTTTGAACTCCTCCCCCCTGGATGGCGCTACAGGTCACTGTACGCCAAGACAACCAGGCACAAGGATGGTTTCTTCCTTCGGGACATTGCTCTGAACAGTTAATTTATATTTATGTATAACAAGATACAACAAATACTACAGTGCATTACCTGTTTTGTTTGTAATTCAGTTGTTTTGTTTGGTGCACAGTGGGGGCCAGTGAGTTGGGAGTCAAATTTCCTGTATTTTAAATAGTACGTGGCAATAAAGTTTGATTGATTGAACTCATCTAAGACCTGATACTTGGCAGGAGATCTGACCACTGTTCTCATAGATTTTTTGTTTTGTTTTGTTTAATTAAAAGTCCCAACGCATGCCACCTACTGTGAAATGCATTTAAAACCCTGATGATTCAGTTACAATTACACAAAAGTCATGAAAATGATCAGCCAATGCTCTAAATTAAAATTTAATGATCCAACCTGTTGTAGTTTAGCACAAATGTATAAAGCACATTGAATTTATTCAAATATTAAAAACATGTTTGCAAAAAAGGTAGACAGCAAACATCATATTAACACAACATCTGCATGGGTGGGGTGGGGGCAAAACAGTAATTTCAATACAAAAGGAGAATCTGTGGAACAAACTTAACATGTCAAACAATTCAGAAATTCAGCAGATGCTTTTAAGGGAAATATACAATTGTGAGACAAATTTATATCCTACTGTTGATAGAACTTACATTTTTGATTCAATGTACTGTAAAATTATAGTAAAATGGTATCTCACACAGTATTACAGATCACTGTCTGAAATCATCAGGCAGACAGGTTCAAGGACGAGGACGTCGCAGAGACAGAACATTTTATCACTCCAATAAAAACTAAAGCAGCCAGTTTGAAAAAACCAAGAAGAAATAAAAAAACAACAAAGCTGAAGTTTAAAGTTTAGTAGCAGTTTAGTTGTCGCTGACATGGCAGCTGTATTT